GTCGTCTAAAATTAACTGATTCTGTTCTGCTCATTTTGGGCTAAAAATCAAGGCATGGAAAATGTCTTTATTACAGAGAGCCTTTCTTTATAAAGGCTATTCATTTTGAATGATTTCTTGCCAAGAATATTTATTTGCCTGGATGTTGCAACTAAGGCAGAGAAAGAAATAAGGCAGAGTCCTGGTTCCCAGTCCTTCCTCTTCCCTAAGCTAGCTAACTTGACCTAGGGTGAGTCACCCGACCTCAGGTCTCAGTAACTTCAACTGTAAAAGAAGCATGTTGACTTCAAATAATTTAAAGCTTCCTCTCAGCTCTTAACATTCTCCTCTCTTATAATTAAACAAAGAAATGAATTATCCCAGGTTAATGGCATAAGGACTAGTGACAATAGGAAACAAGATTTCTAAGATACAATAATTCACCAAAACTTCAAGAAGCAGAGTCTGAGGAAAGAAATAAGGTTACAGAATCCATCTCACACTTAACACTGCGGGGAAGGCCCAGGGAAAAATAACTCTACTGCCCACCGAGCAGCCCAGAAAGGTAAGATAGAAGGTATTTCACCAAACCGAGTCCCTGCCGATCTAAACTTCAAGAGCATACCTCACCTGTAACCGCGCCTTAACACTGAACAAATAAGAGATCTCACACTAGAAGCTACAACGTCTGCAGCTGAAGCTAGCAAAGGGTGCAATTCCAGATGACTACAAAGATGTTCTCTAACGTTATTCTTACCACCCGGCTAGCTGCAGGAACAGGGGAACTCATTTGGCAGAACCCAGACACCAACATTCACAAGCTTCCCCAAAGCTCACAGAGAAGCTATGTCAAAGAAGAAACTGGTACCTTCACCAGGGTAACCTCAACAAATATCTTTATTCTCACGGTTACATACCTTACACATTTTGTACTAAGTTGAACATAGAAGAAAAGAACCTTAAAAAGTTTTTAAAATCTCCAGTCTTCGTTCAAAAAATTCCTTTTAAATGTTATGTTCCCTGAAGCTACCTCTAAATGGAGGTATTGAGGGTAGAGGGTAGAAAGAACCACTGTTCTCCTGAGAGATCATTTCATTCACTTCCATCGTGTTTTAACAAAAAGGCACAAATAGCTTCAAATATCCTCCTGGGCACTTCCTAGCATAAAAAGATTGTGTGTGCTCACTTCTGTCCTTATCTGTCCCTGTTGTATGACGGGTATGTAAAACCTGTCAATAAGCGTGAACCTGCCAAACAAGGTCAAAAAGACAATAAACTGAAGAGATTCAATTCATGTTTATGAAAAGTGGGACATGAGTCTCTAAGGGTGCAAGGGAGAAGGGGGCGGGGTGGGCATGAAAGCTAATAATACTTCCAGTCATTGCCACCAATGCCCATCCACACATTACAAGGCTCCCACTATTCTGAGATCTGAGGATGATTTTAGCCTGCCTACATTTGCTTGCCAAAATACACACTACACATGGTCTAACACTGCCTGTATCTGTTAGACTGCTAAGTGTAGCAACCGAGTGCTGGCAGCACGCGGAAGCAGCGAATGCAACGTGTCAGTCGGCTCGGGAGTTTGTGGAGAGGCAGCAACTGCAGCAAATCAACACTCTCCAACATGTGGCCCACCAAATCTGAGTTGGAGGAGGAAGAGATGTCCCTTTCTCTTCCTCTGCCTTAAAAAAAAAAAAAAAAAGTAGGGAGAATGAGGTGTCGGAAATGAACAAGGTAATGGTGTCCACTCCAAGACAGATAAGGAACTCCTGGCAACCTAGCATCCCTTGGGATAGGATGCTACTTTGAAGGCAAGAGGAGTAAGTTTTATTCTGATTAACCTCACTCCTTAACACTCAGGATACTCATCGATTGTTCGCGGAAAAGGCAGCCTGCGTTCAAATTCCCTTGCCCCTATTCCTAACTATAAATTCTCTCTGGAGTTGGCAAGTTAAAAAATCAGCAAAAGGGCCAAAGGACATCCTGGGCTGGCCAGTGCCCCTAGAGAGGCAGACACTCCCCAATTTCGGGCTCTCCTCCTTCCCAAGACTCGCAGATTAGTTCTGAAGTGGGAATCGCTGTGGAGCACGCAGAGGTGCAGTACTTACCCCCATTCACCCCTATGGACGGCTCCAGCTTTGCTCCGGCGATCGCCAGGACTATTCCAACCATGAACCATTCTTTTCTCATTCTCTCCAACAGCCTCATGTTTGTTAGGGTGGGTGGGTTTTGTTTATTTGTTTGGCTTTTTTTCTTCTTAAACTGCGATCGCTTAATCCGCGGGGCGTCTCCGCACTTTCCACGGTCCCACCTGACATGCAGCAGAGCAAGTCAAATTGCCACCCGTAAATTAAAGACCAGGGGTTTGCTCCGGCGGCTTCGAGGAGGGCTGGGAGTAGTAGTATCCAGTGACAGGAAAGTCTCTCTGAGCGCCGCCATCACTACCGTGCGCCTCCTAATAGACGCGCACAAGCCACTGCCGCTCTGACCACGGCTCCCAAGCCCAAATGCTCTAAAGCGGATATTTGGACTAGGCTGGCCAGCGCAGGCGATCGGGGAAAGGGAAGCTGGCTGCCGGCTAGGGCGAACAGACTCGCCGTCGTCAAGACCTGCGGAATCTTATAAATGACTGGGGCGGGGAATGGCGTGAGACGCCTCAGTCACCCACCTTTACCAAGGGTCGCGCCAACAAACCTTTCGGTACAGCCACCTGCACCTCTGGAGCACCCCCACGGAGAGGCTCTCTTTTGCTTAGCCATGCACCGGCGGGAAGGGCTAGCTTGCGCTTGGAGAAGGGATTTCTCGATCGGCAGCTGCGGCGGCGGGGTGCAGGGTTTTCGGCGGCAAGTTTCTTCGAGGCATTACGACGCTTCCCCGACGCCGGCGTTGACGTGTGCGCGAGGGGGAAGGGGGCCGCTCTCGGGTCTCCCGGGTTCTCGAGGCCGGAGCCCGTTGGGAGTTACCCGCGCTCGCGG